TTCCTTCCATTATGTGTAAGGCCTTCCACATTATAAAAGAGTTTTGTACCTGCACAAGATACAAGCAAAAGCATATTTAGAATATATACAGTATTATACCTAGAAATAATAATAATAATAATAATAATAATAATAATAATAATAATAATAATAATAATAATAATAATAATAATAATAATAATAATAATAATAATAATAATAATAATAATAAAAAGTTGGAAGGGACCTTGAAGATCATCTAGTCCAACCCCCTGCTCAGGCAGGAAACCCTATACCATTTCAGACTTCTTAAAGGTTTCCAGTGTTGGAGCATTCACTGCTTCTGGAGGCAGGTTGTTCCACTGGTTAATAATAATAATAATGATAAAGTTGGAAGGGACCTTGGAAGTCATCTAGTCCAACCCCCTGCTCAGGCAGGAAACCCTATACCATTTCGGACAAATGGCTGTCCAGTTTCTTCTTAAAAACTTCCAGTGTTGGTGCATTCACCGCTTCTGGAGGCAGGTTGTTCCACTGGTTAATTGTTCTAACTGTCAGGAAGTTTCTCCTTAGTTCAAGGTTGCTTCTCTCCTTGATTAGTTTCATCCATTGCTTCTTGTCCTGCCTTCAGGCGCTTTGGAGAATAGCTTGACTCCCTCTTCTTTGTGGCAGCCCCTGAGATATTGGAACACTGCTATCATGTCACCCCTCGTCCTTCTCTTTGTTAAACTAGACATACCCAATTCCAGCAACCGTTCCTTATATGTTTTAGCCTCCAGTCCCCTAATCATCTTTGTTGCTTTTCTCTGTACTCTTTCTAGAGTCTCAACATCTTTTTTACATCGTGGTGACCAAAACTGGATGCAGTATTCCAAGTGTGGCCTTACCAAGGCATTGTAAAGTGGTATTAATACTTCATGTGATCCCTCTGTTAATACTTCATGTTCTATCCCTCTGTTAATACAGCCTAGTATTGTGTTGGCTTTTTTGGCAGCTGTAGCATATTTAAGTGATTGTCCACTAGGACTCCGAGATTCCTCTCACAGTTACTACTATTAAGCCAGGTACCACCTATATTATACCTGCACATTTGGTTTTTCTTGCCTAAAGGTCGAACCTCACTTTTTTCACCATTGAATTTCATTTTGTTAGATAGCGCCCAGTGTTCAAGTCTGTCCAGGTCCTGCTATATCCTAAGCCTGTCTTCTGGAGTGTTGGCTATTCCTGCCAGCTTGGTGTCGTCTGCAAATTTGATGAGTTCTCCATCTATCCCCTGGTCCAAATCATTCATGAAGATGTTGAAGAGAACTGGGCCTAGGACAGAGCCCTGGGGCACCCCACTACACATTTCCTCCATGTAGATGCAGTTCCATTGAGAACCACACACTGAGTACAGTCAGTCAGCCAGCTACGAATCCATCTGGTGGTGATGCTGTCTAACCCACATTTTTCTATCTTATCAAGTAGTAGGTTGTGATCTACTTTATCAAATGCCTTACTAAAGTCCAAGTAAATTATATCCACAGCATTCCTCTGGTCCACTAATTTTGTCACTTGGTCAAAGAATGCAATAAGATTTGTCTGGCAAACAAATCTGGGATCTGACAAACCCATGTTGGCTTTTGGTAATGACTTTGTTTGCCTCTAGGTGTTCGCTGATTCGTTGTTTGATTATCTTTTCCAGCATCTTCCCAGGTATTGAGGTCAGGCTGATAGGTCTGTAGTTTTCTGGATCCATTTTTTTTCCTTTTTTGAAGATGGGAACTACATCAGCTCTTTTCCAGTCCTCTGGTAGTTCCCCNCCTCCAGTCCCCTAATCATCTTTGTTGCTCTTCTCTGTACTCTTTCTAGAGTCTCAACATCTTTTTTACATCGTGGTGACCAAAACTGGATGCAGTATTCCAAGTGTGGCCTTACCAAGGCATTGTAAAGTGGTATTAATACTTCACGTGATCTTGATTCTATTCCTCTGTTAATGCAGCCTAGCACTGTGTTGGCTTTATTGGCAGCTGCAGCACACTGCTGGCTCATATTTAAGTGATTGTCCACTAGGACTCCAAGATCCTTCTCACAGTTACTACTGTCGAGCAAGTACCACCTATACTATACCTGTGCATTTGGTTTGTCTTGCCTAAATGTAGAACCTTAGTTTTTTCACCATTGTATTTCATTTTATTAGATAGCGCCCATTGTTCAAGTCTGTCCAGATCTTCTACACACTTAAATAAAAGTATTCCTCCCTTGAGTTCACTTTTGTATACCATATATAAAATTAAATCCTGTGAATCAATGGTTGAGAGATCACACAAAGAAACAGTATTATATACATAAATTTATAAGTTTTTAACATAATTATTAAGGAACATAGCTGCCTTGTTGGGCTTCTGGATGAACATGCAAATGCTTCATACAATATGGATATAATTTAATTTTTATCTGAAATACTACTATAGTTTTCTACCAAAAACCCAAACTTCAATGTATTCTTTGGATGCTGCATAGAGCCATGGAGATGGCCTTAAAAGAAATATTCATAAATCAATACAGAAACAAGGGCACATATATTCCTTAAATCCTGGAAAAGAAAGTAGTATTAAGAGACTCAATCTGGCTTGCCCCTGTAGACAGGTTGGAAAGACTCTGTTACTATAGCCCATCTCCTATCTCAGTAATGGTGAACCTATAGTAGGTGTGCCAGAGGGAGCACTCAGAGCCCTCTCTGTGGGCATGTGTGCTGTCGCCTCAGCCCCGCCACCCGCCGCAGCCCCCTCACCAGGAGCCCCCCAAGGAGAGTCACCCCCAGGCACAGCCCGTGTGAAATAGCGCAGGCAAGGACATGGCAGCCGGGCAGCGGGGACAAGACTCCACCCTCATGCCCCGTCTGCTGCAGCTGGCCGTGAAGGCGGTGGGAGGCCCTGTGGGCAGGTGGGGGGTAGGGGCAGGGTGGAACGGACAGGGCGGGGGCAGAGCGGGCAGGGGCAGTTTTTGGGCACTCGGTTTCTAAAAGGTTCGCCATCACTGTCCTATCTTAATGAAGTTAAAAAGTTAAAAAGTTCTAATCTTCCTGTGGGGTTGGTTTCCTAGTTTGGTCCATTTCATAAGGCTGACAGATCCAAACATAATTTACAAGTAAATTGTGATTAAAATGATGGGACTTTATATTTTAAATGTATACTCAGCAATACATTTAATAGAACATAATGTCTTTTATATTCAGACAGGATACAAATATTAAACAGGTTTGGCAGGGCTTATATTACCTTGCTGACTGTAAAATGTATGAAACTGGAATAGTACTGCTACACTAAATGGGAAAAGGCAGTGACAGTTTGCACAGACTAACATCATTCATTATACCTTTGTTGTGGATGGCATGGCTTGAGAGCCAATCTGGTCGAGAGGTTAAGGCACCAGGCTAGAAACCAGGAGATCATAGTTCTTAACCATGAAAGCCAGCTGGGTGACTTTGAGCCAGTCACTGTCTCTCAGTCCAGCCCACCTCACAAGGTTGTTGTTATGGGGAAAATAGGAGGAAGATGTGTTGGACTTATTCACTGCCTTGAGTTATTTGTAAGAATAATAAAGATGCGATACTAATAAATAAATTTACCCATTACTGCCACACAACCTTCACCTTCCCTTAATGAATTGAGATTTTATACAGTAACTCACAGAAGGTAAAAATCACTGTCAATATTTTTGGGGGGGACAGAGCAGGATATTCATTTCTAGTAAAGACTAGCTCTTCAGTCAAAGTGTTGATACAAAGTGATACAAAAATCAGACAAATTTGCAAAAGATTTTTTCCCCAATAGGAAATAAAAAAAATCTGGACAAAATCAACAGGGGAAAACCCTTTTGTTTTTAGGAAGCATTTTGTTAGATGATATTTGAATGAGCAGAACAGTATAAGAATAAAATTGTACATGTTTTGAAGGTTTAATCATTTAAAACAAAGATTTTTTTTCTGATTATATAGGCAAAGAGAAACAGAAGACTTCTTTTCAATAGTTTGCTTGGACATTTTTCATTCTCAAATGACCAAGAAACATTGTTTTATCTAAGTTACCTTAGATAAGATCAGGGCTTTTTTTGTCATAGAACGCACCAGATTCAACGGATTTGTGCATGGTAACATTAATAGTATTAGCTTACCTTGAACAAAATCCTAGTCTTTTAGATACATTAAAAATTAAAAGGTTTTTTTTTCAACTACAGAGGTAAACCTTGTAGGGTAGGCCAGGCAGGTTGTATGACATGTGTGAGTTCCGGCACCTTTTTTTTTTTTTTTTTTTTACAAAAAATGCACTGGATAAGATGCTAGTAATAGTGGAACAGACCTAAGCTGGCTCAGGTAACAAAGATTGTATTTTTCAGTTACAATCAAAATGTCAAAAGATACAAGATTTGCTTAATAATTCAAGAAACCAGATAAGCTTGAATTTTAGAGGAACTATGTAATATTTTAAAATAAT